CAACCTTCACTCACTTCTTTCTGTGATATTTTTTGCTTGCAGTAACAATTCCTTGATGGTTGTTAAATAGAGATTTCCAATTCCCTAATTTCTTTTGACTTTGGTGGTTGGTATTCTAAGGAAGGAATTTCAGGTTTATTTATTTATATCAGTATAGACTAAGGAATTCTTATTTTATTTAATGGGTTACAATCCTTTCCTATCATTATTAATTTTGATGATTAAGTTATCTCAATTTTGACCATTGAGTGCCTCTAAAGCTTTGTTTCTATGTTGCTTTGATATATACATATATTCCTGTGTTCCTGTATTCATTTTTCATGACAAGATATTCAGGACTTATCCTGTACTTTCCCTGCCATGGGCTTGAAATTAGATATTTCTCTAAGGATACCTTGTTCACTTTAAAAGAAAAACATACTTAGAAACCAAGATCTGGTTTCCAGATCTGCTTATAGCTATAAGGCATCAGGTCACCAGGCTAAGTACATGCCATATCAGACTCACTAGAGTTACTGTTACAAAAATATAGATAGATAATATAAAAATGTCTGAGAAGATATGGAGAAACTGGAACCCTCAACTGTACAATGGTGCAATCAATTTACAAAGCCATATGAAGTGCTTTAAAAGTTGAACAAAGAGTAATTATATGACCCAGCAATTCCATTCCTTGGTACATATCCAAAAGAATTAAGTACATGTCCACACAAAAACTTGCACGTGCGTGTTCATAATGGCATTATTCATAATAGCCAAAATCTGATTGTCCATGAATTGAAGAGTGCATAAACAAACTAGGGTATCCACACAATTGAATGTTATTTGTCAATAAAAATCAGTGAAACATGGTTATATTCTACATCATGGAAGAACTGCTATAGTGGGTTGAATAGTAGCCCCCCAAAAGATTACCCATGCCTTCCTTTCTGGAACCTGTCTATGAACGTCACTTTATTTGGAAAAATTGTCTTTTCAAATGTAATTTTGTTAAGGATTTTAAAATTAAGAAATTAGCCTGGATCATCAGGGTGGGCCCTAAATTCAGTGTTTAGAATCCTTATAAAAGAAAAACATAAAAAGGTTTCAGATTCAGTGGAGGAAAAGACACACATACACATTGGAGAAGGCCATGTGAACTCAAAAGCAGATTGGAGTGATGGAGCTTTAAGCTGAATGCCAAGGATTGTAGGTGGCCAGAAGGGGCAAGGAAAGATTCCCTCAAAAGCCTCTGGGGAGATCACCCTTACTAATGCCTCGTTTTGGACTTTGGCTTCCAGGGCTGTGACACAGTCAATTTCAGTTGTTTTAAGCCACTCAATTTGTGTAATTTGTTGTGATTGCCTCAGAACACTAATGTAACCTCAAAAAACACTAAGTTAATAAAGTTAAGCTAGACACCAAAGACCATGTATTAGATTCCATTTGTACAAAATATTTAGAAATACCTAATCTATAGTCAGTTGTTGCCAGAGCCTGAGAGGGGTATGTACATTATACTTTAATAAAGTTATTATAAAAAATTAAAAACCAAGCCAGTCATAGTGGCATATGCCTGTAATCCCAGCACTTAGGGAGGCTGAGGCAGAAGGATTGCAAGTGTGAGCCTAGCCTGGGCAACTTAGCAACTTTGCAAGACACTGTCTCAAAATAAAAAATAAAACAAAAGCAGCTCAGGATCTAGCTCAGTGTGAACACTCTGAGTTTAGTTCCCAGTACTGCAAATAAATAAATTTTAAAACAAAAAATAAAATCATATAGAAATAAATTTGACAAGAAAGCCAGGTTTGGTGGCACGTACTTGTAATCTTAGCACTTGAACACTGTTTCTAAAATAAAATAAAATTGTAAATTGATAAGAAATGTTAAGAATTTATAAAAACACTATCAAATATTTTTCTTCATCTATGGGTATGGAAGGCATCTTAACTAAGAAATCCTTAAGTCATATTTCTCTATCTGAATATGAACATGTATATTTATTTATATGAAGAAAATTTTTAGCAAATGACAAAATATTTCTTATGATACAGATAAGATCATGCATGTCCAGGGTGGTATGGCAATAGACTATTTCTTATAACACAAGTTAATCTGAGATAATAACAAGGAAGTGGCAAATGATTAAACAGAAAAATATAAAAGAATATAAAGAACAAAGACAGCTGGTCTGAATGCAGTGGTGTTTACAACTAATTGATCACAACCACTTACAGATTTCTTTGGGCCAGGGATGTAGCACAGTGGCACAGTGCCTGCCTGGCAACTGTGAGGTCCTGAGTTCTATCTGAGTACCAAAAAAAAAAAAAAGAAAGCAAAGGCAAGTGATAAATATATTTTCAAATGTATAAACTGATGCATGATAACAGAATGCAAATTAAAGCACCATGAAGCATCACTTTCTCCTCCATCAAAGTGGGGAAATTGTAGTGCAATAATACCTATTGTTGGTAGAAATAAGATTAAGGAAGAAGAATAATCGCATACATTTCTTATGGAAACTGTGAACTATTATCAACTCATATAAAAGGCAATCTTGTAATATAATATATATGTACACACTTTGCCTACTCATAGGTATTAATTTCATTGAAATTACGGACATGTATGTACAAGGATGATTATTTTATTTTTACATTTTAAATTTGTTATTAATTTTTAAATTAATGTTTGGAATACATAATGAATACATTCATCATGGGAGTTGGTATCTATATATATTATATCTTAGACCCTTTTACTTCCCCCTCCTCTCCTCTCTACCCCTTCTCCCTCCATCCCTAGCTCCCTTTCCCATCTGCAAAGGGTCTACCTCCCTATTTCCTATCATCTATCCTTTACTGTTTACGTTATTTATACTTTGGGTTTCTCATATAAGAGAAACCATGGGATATTTAACCTTATGTGTCTGTTTTATTTCACTTTGCATTATGGTCTAAAGGAAGGGTATTTATTTTATAGCAGTGTCCATAGAGGTGGCAAATTAGGGGAAGAAAGCACATATGCATCAACAAAGTACATGAATGAATAAGTCATGTTGTGTCCATAACTATGGAATAGTTGTCCAGTCATTTAAATGGTTAAGAGCTGAGGATTACAGATATACCATTTGATTTGAAAATTCTACCAGGTATTGCTGGATGTAAAAACCAAGTTTCAGAGACATGTGTAAACAAAAAGGTATTTACTGTATTTACATATACATGTGCATTAATATATGTGTGAGCATGTGTCTGTGTGTGTGTGTGTGTGTGTGTGCACGCACATATGGGCATCTGCTGCATTTTTCCATTATGGAAGTATTGTTTCACTTTGTAATCAATAGGAAACCTATGAGATGCTTCTGGTGAACCAGATCAATATCCTGCTTCCCATCTGCCTTTTTATCTTGTGGGTTTTATATCCCTTGATGATTCTTGCCTAAATCCATTCTTATATTGGGTTAAAATGCATCTTTTTATTATTTAAAATATACACAAATATACTTGAAGTATATTGAATCATTTTAAAAATTATGTTTTGTTGCATAGCAGGTTTTGAAGGCTGAATGGTCTATGTAATGGCTTCCTTTCTTTTTAACTTGGCTTGTGTAGACTAAAAATAAAGAGGCTTACTTCATGCTTGTTCATTTTCTCCATGACCAAGCTGAATACTGCTGACATTTTTGGTTTTCTCTGAGGCTATCTGATACTTGCAGAAAAAAATTAGTTAATGAGACAAGTAAATTATACTTTTGATTTTGGCATCTGCATCAGTGGTATCGATTAGTGAAACTTATCAGAATAAAATTATTAATTTAGTCTCTATTTTCCAGCTCTTGATAGTTGTTTTTTGAAGTTTTTGCCAAAAGCTGGACTCAGTGATATTACCCACAAGTCATATGTTTCTAAGTATGACATTAAAAATATGCCTCCATAAAATAAATTAGGAAATTTCACAACACTACATTTTTTACTGTCTGGATTTTGATATTAAATACTCAGATTCTTTGAAAATAAACTAGATCCTTTCAAGTACAAGTGACTAACACAACATAGATTTATCTCACTTCAAATTGCATTGTTTAAAATCATTTTTCAGGAAATACCATGGACTGGGGTATAGCTCATTGGTGAAGCTTGTGTTTAGCATGCATAAAATCCTGTGTTATATCTCCAGCACCAAAGAAAAGAAAAACACCTATACATGAAAGAACTTTAAAGTTTGTTGTTATGTTAAAGATTTATATGCAAAGCAAATTAATCAAGTTAACTTTGTGGTTAGAATGAGAAGAATAGAACCTAAATTCTATGCTATTCTTTTTTTTTTTTTTAGTACCAGGATCGAACTGAGGACCTGGTTCTTTCTTCTCTTTCATTTTTAAATTCTATTTTTCCAGTATCTAGAAACTGTGCTTGAAACAGTAGGTATTCAATCAATATTATTTGATGATTAAGTAGATATATCACCAGCTTACTAAATACTAGGATCTGTGTTATGTTCATGGAATAAAAAGGTAAATAAGGCAGATTCCATCACTACCACAGGGACCTTATAATCAAGTAGAAATTATTTACACATATAGCACACATAGGTAAAATATGTCTATATACATCATATTTTTAAAAGCGTAATTATAGCCAAACAATGTTATCTAGTATATTACTAATCTATGTAGATTCAGCACATCTGATAGTGTATTGCACAAAACTTTTACTGACTGACAATGCCAAAGGATTATAAAAACAATGGAGATTTTAGTTATTAAACCTGCTAATTTGGGGAAAGAAAATTTATGTCACTGGGACACATGATTTCTGCCCAGTTTAGGACTAAAGAATAAGAGACAGAATAAGACCAAGAATAACCAAAAAAATATTTAACTGGAATTTTTATTAACCAACATCCTGTTCTCTAAAATTTAAAAGAGCAAGACTACAATTATATCTAAATAGATAAAGGATAAAATGTTTTGTGATGAATGGATAATTTGTAGTTACTTTACACACAGAAATATAACTTTTCCATTACTTTAGTTTCAGTGACAGCTAAAATGTAATAGACTAGGAAATAGCATTTCGGCTTTTATGTCATTATTGTAGAATCACAGACTCGTCTTTTAAAAAGCAGCAGATCTCCCTAAAAGCTATGTTTTTTTTCTCTATAGCATATTTAATTTCCTTTCACAGCCACCTAAATAATTTTATATTACAGAGCTTCAGCAAGATTAATGACTATTCCCCTTTTGCCTATTTTATCAAAAACATGAAAGCCTGTCACTCTGTTTTCTCTCTGGTGGTGAAAATGGCAGTCAACATTTTAGTTCTTGTTTTGTCATAAACAAAATACTTGGCATTTCTGGAATAACTTGCATGGGAAATCTCAAATCCCTATATATTTGTGAATTTGCCAGTCTCTGCTTCTTGCACATTGCTGTTAGAATGCATGCAAGGTAAGCCGTATGTGAATGAGGCAGCATTCCAATGTTCTGTGTGTCACTTCATCCTCCAAGCAAAGTAAGACTTGAGAATATCCAAGCTCATCAGAATTTCTACCTTAAAAATTAAAAAAAAAGAAAAGTAAGATTTTTCATGTTTATAAATAAAACCTACTGTTCTCCACACAGTTTGATATGATCCTCTGTTATTATTGTATCTAGATGTCCTTCCAAACCCTCACACACTCATAGATGGGGCTATTTGGAACTAGCTGGATCTAGGGTGTCTTGTACTGGGATTAAGGGTATGTGCTACTAAATTAGTCCACTGATTGGAATTAGCATAGGTTTGAGTGCGGATAATGGTAAGGCCCACCCTGGGTTTGCTGGCACCACCCAAAAGGCTTGTAGCCTGGGTGAGATAAAAGGGAAAGAGGGGCTTGCTGGTGCTGCTGCTCCTGCTGCTTCTTCTGATGTTGCTTACTGCTTTGTGTCTACCATACCATGGACTGTTTCTCCTCTGCAAAGCCTCTCTGTCATGCTTCCGTGCCTTGGAGCCAGCCAACTATGGACTGAAACCTCTACAAACTGAGCTGAAATAAACTTTTCCTCTTGCAATTTGTGGATGTTGAGTATTTTGTCTCAGCAATGAGAAAAGTAAATAAGAAGTCTATTAAAATAAATTTTAGATTCTCAATGAATGCCTAAATTGTTAATTTTATATTTATTGGTGGAGATATCACCTGTATTATTGGATATCTTTTTGAAGAGCATAGATGACTACTAGTCCAGGGGTTTAGTGTGCACATTCCTTTTGATTATATCATTGCTGAGAGGACTGATGATTAGATGGCAAAGTCCTTAGAACAGATTTCTTGGAGCACAGTAAATATTAGAACTCCACAAACTGTCCTTGTCTATAATTAATGAGTCCTCTTCTTATAATTAGAAATGATACAGTTCTCAAGTACCTCTAAGTACAGAAGGGCTGCTCCAGCCCCCTCTGTTTTAGAGCCAGTGGTATTTGATAGAATGGAAGAGCCATAGATGGTTATGTGTTACAGAATTTTACAAAGGAAAATGATCTCTTACCATGAACTCAAAGGAACTGATGTGGGCTGGTCACTTGTGGTGTTCACTTGTTGGATGTGGCAGAAGCAACTCTGACTTGCCCAATAACCTCACATACCATTGCTTCATACATTACCTCTGTCCATCTTTCAGAGCCTTATCATCCATCGGCGTTCTTTGAGCTTACCAGGATCCATGTTTTGGTATTCTGTATTTTGTGCCCTTTTCTTCCTTTTCTCATTCCAGGCTGCTCACATGAACTAACCAGAAAGCATACTCAAATACATATTTTATTATATCTAATATTTTTCCTATGAAGATATTATTTTTCTGCTAATATAATTTAAATTAGGGGAATAAAATTCTTTAAATTTCCTTAATTTAAAAGCATTTCAGATACATGTAGATCCTGATTTTTATGCAGAGTTGAAGTTTTGAAGAAAGGTTATTTATTCCAGGTTTGGCTACATAATTCTTTAAGAATAAAGCCCCATACATACATGGTAAGTGTACAATAAATGATTGTTGGATGAATATTCAATATACAAATGCTGAATTCTTACCAGGGAAGTTAATAGGTGCTCTTCTAGAATGCAGCGTCCTCTGACCCAGAAAGGTTTTCATTACCATGCCAATCTCCAAAGGGTGCTGCTGATCTGTTTCTGCTGATCTGGGTATCAGAATTGTAATAGTACTGACCAGGTAGAGTCTGCCTGGATGACATTTATACACATAATAATATCTAAGAGTTTTTTAATCAGAGATCTAAGAACCCTGAGCAGCACATGTTGAGAGTGACATATACTTCATCTTACATGCCTCTGTGTAGTCAACCCCCAAACTGAGCTTCTGTAAGGGAAATGTGCATGTGATTCACCTGTGGCCATTGTTAGAAGGCAGGGTCTGAATCTGCATGTCTGGGGCAGAGCTTGCCATACTGTATTTCCAAGAAGCTTCTCTCCAGGTGATGCTGCTGCCTGGTCCATGGATTGCATTGAAAATAATAGGTCTGAAAGTAATAGGGTTTTGTAACCAAACTTCTGTTATCACTCTTCAGTTCCTTCTCATTAAGGAACTTTTGTTATCACTCTTCAGTATCTTCTCATTAAGGTACCGTTGATAAGCCTCAGCTGGTGGGGTCTGGTCTGTATTCTCTCCTGTCATCTGTCTCTAAGGTGTCAGAGTTTGCTGCACGGCTGTTACTGAAAACACAGGAGCAGCTGCTGGTTGCTAATTTGTGTGCCATTTGGATGCTGGTTCTAGCTACTACATTCTCTGAAGCTTTTGTTTTACCGTGAAAGACTTGTTTCTTGTTTTATGTGTGAGCTGCTCAGCACTATATTACTGCCTGTGCAGTATCAGTAGTGGTTTTGGGCATTACCCACAAATAGTGTGTCTTTCACAGAACTCTTACAGAAACTCTGTGATACACATAGTTTTAATATTGTAATTTCCATCTTATGGATGAGAAAGCTAAGATTCAGAGAAGTTCAATAACTCCTACAAGATCACAAAGGTACTAAAGGACAGAAATGGGTTTCATAATCTTATATTGTGATTCCAAGTCCTATATTTTCTATCACACCTTGCTGTGAATAGATTATGATAGTAGGGAAATGGCCTTTCCCTCTCTATGGTGGTCTTTGTAAATTTTTATACATTCATAAATTTATTCTTCTTTCATTGCTCTTTGGTGCACTATAGCACCTCTTTCCATCTCTAAAGAGTTAGCATGAAAAGCAATGTGAAAATCTTGAAATCTGTTGAAAATCTGCTGACTTGTTTGAGAAAGACTATTTTCTTGCCTTTAAGGTAAGGTGAGATGATGTTATTTGGAATTATAATAGATTATAGGTCTCTAGCTTCCAGAGTTGTAGAAGAATAAATTTTTGTTGTTTTAACTCACCTAATTTGTGAGTTTTTTATAGAAGCTTTAGGAAACTAATACAAATCTCTTATGAAAATTAGAAAGTGACACCTCTCAGGAAGATGTAACCTGGGCTAGGTTGCAAATCTTGGTGGGTGGGGGATTGCCTGGATATCCATCTCCTCTTGACTCTTTGGCCAAGTACACACATACACAATGAACAAATTGCACAACAATGTACAGTGGCCCCATAGGCAGAAGCTAGGACCCAAATAGTTGAATGTTTCCTTTTCTTCTCTTTCCCTTATCTTTTTGTCTTCCTCTCAAAGAGCTTCTGCTTCCCCTTTCATCTTAGGTAGTCACAAGCTTCTGTTGTGTCATATCCTGTTATTGTTCCCATGACGCATATTAGATCCCTATGGGCTGAGTCTACAAAGCCTGGCTATCAGGACTAGTGTTGCTGTGACCTAAGATAGAGACAGATAGATAAAGACAGACAGATTAAGCTAAACCATAGCTTTATGGTTTACACTAATCATCTATTGCTATATAAGGAAATGCCCCCAAATTAGCAACTTAAAACATTTCTAATCTCCCATAGTTTGAACGTAGTTGGCTAAGACTCTCTCCTGAGTTTGCTGTCAAACTGCTGACCAGGACTATAGTTTCTGAAGACATGAATGAGACTGGAGGATTCATTTTGAAGCTCACACACGTGGTTCTTGGCAGGATGCTTCAGCTCTTCAGCAGCTTTTTACAGGGATGCTCATAACACAGTTTCCCCCACGTGGAATGATGGGCGAAAGAGAGACAGGGACCAAGACAGAAGGTACAATCTTTTATAAATTAATCTTAGATGTGATTCATTATTACTTCTGTCATATTCATTATTACTACAGGTCCACCAGATCATCCTTAGTACAATGTAGGAGAACTCCACAAGACTGCAAATTCCTGGATATGGGAACTTGGGGAGTTGCCTTGGAGACGGTCTATTGCATTGTTCTACTAGTGTTCCTTAATAGGAACTGCACTGGCACTTGGGTAGGAGAATTCTTTGTTGGGTAGGACTGTTCAAGGCATTGTTAGATATTTAATGTCCCTGACTTTCACCTACTAAATGCCAGTAGTACTTCAGCCACTGTGACAAAGTGCCCCCAAACCATTTCCAAGATAGGTGGTATTCGCCCCAACTTGCCTTATCTGATACATCAGTCAGGAGAAGCTATACTTTTAGAATAAAAAATATATCAGCTTATTGTTCAAAAATATATGAATTCATTGTTCAGCAATGTTAAAACTGCTGCACTGGCATCTCTCAGAGGGGTTGAAGTAACTGAGGGATTGACAGTCCTATGAATGGAGGGCTGTAGAGTACTGAACTGGAGTGAGGAAGGGTACACTTAGTTTCACTTCTACCTTTTGTTCACTAACAGCCTGGAGCAAGGTATGAAACTAGTTGAACCTCTGTGTCACCTTTCCTGTTACTGGGACCAAATGTCTGATACTTACAATGTAAAGAAGAGGTTTATTTAGCTCATGGTTTCAGAGTACTCGGTCCATGGTCTGCTGGTTCCAAGGCAGAAACATTACGGTGGGAAGTCATAGCAGAGTAAAGTTGCTTAGTTCATGGATGCTGGGAAACAGAGCTTGGAAACAGTGCTAGCAAGGAAGAGATGAAGGACCAGATTTAGAACTCAAGGGCATGCCTCTATGATCCATCCAGATATACTCAGAAGTATGCTTTACTAATCTCATGGCTGGATCCCAAATCCATCCACTTGGTAATCTGCCTTAATCTTCATTCTGTAAATGGGAGGTAATACTACTTACCTCACAGGGTTTGCAAAATAAGGCAGAGAAACAAGGCACCCTTGAACCACATGTAGGCTCATTCTTTCTAGAGGAACTCAAGTGTTCCAGACCTCAGAGGCATAAGCTTTCCAATAGAAGGGTCACAGGAATAGGCTGGTGCTCCTGGGCCTATGGAGTGGGCCAGAATTCCCTTAAGACAATCAATATAAAGCATGGCTTATGCCTTCACAGAGGCCAGAGTTTTCCTAACTGCAAGGTGAATACTGGACTTTGTTTTGGGTATATTTATATATTTCTTCTGTCTTGCTGCCTTCACTGGCCAAAGTTTGACTCTCTTGAGACCATGATTTTCTCCCATTTCTTTTCTGTTCTGGGATCCTTTTCTTCAACCAAGCTCCCACTGCCCTTCTTCTGAGTGCCTCCATTTTTTTTTTGAGAGGAATTCCCCTATCCTACACCTTTCTCTGAACTTGTTTTGTATTTCCCTGATGCCTGGATCACTCCTGAACTTGGTCCATCCTCTATAGCTTTCTCAAGTCATCTTTCCATCAAAAGTTTCTGCCCACAAGTATCTACCTTCTTTATGTATGTGGGCTGGGGACTACAGCTGGAGAAAACTACTTGATTTTCTGGAAAAGTGTACTCTAAACTCACTCTTTTATCACCTGGGCATCAACACTGCCTACAGCTCCTGTTTCATCTCTTATTGTTCATCCCTCTCCTGGCAGCCTCCACAGGATCTGTCTCAAGCCTTTTTCTCCCCTGACTGCAAGCCATCTACTTCACTCTTTTGCACTTCAATCTCATCCTTACCTTCAGGTGATCTTGACTGCTGATTCATAAGAAAATAGATGACCCAGAAGAGAATACATACAATTTCCTGCCACCCCTTTTCTATTCCTGTGCTAGGAATAGAGGAATATGCTTCCCCTAGGGTTAGCTTCTACCCTGTGCCTCTGCTCTCATCACTCTGGGTCCCCTCAGGAACTTCCCTCCAACAATGACATCTCTTTTCTATATGCCAGCATTTTCACTAGGTTCCTCCCATTTCAATGTCCTCCAGTATCTTTCATGTCAAAGACAAAAAAAGAGAGAGAAAAGAAATCTCCTCCAACCCTTGCCTTCCATCCTGTACCCCATACTTTTCTTCAGTTCCTCTCTTTTCCCTCACAGACCAAGTTCTTGAAATAACTTTTTACATTCTCTATGACGTCCTCACTTCTCTTCCCCTTTGACTAACCACAGTCTGCCTCTTCTCACACCTGTCTTCAGAAACTGCTTTCATCCTGAGTTATAATTCCTACCCCACTGATGCTAAATCTAGTGAACCATTCTCATTTCTTACTTGACTTAACCTCTGAGCATTTCACACTGTTCACTGTTCCTGTCTGCTTGGAGTGCTCTCTTTACTTGCCGTCTGTTAAGCCATAGTCACCTGGTTTTCCTCCATCTCTGCCACTACTTCTGTCTCCTATTTTTGACAACCTTCCCTCTGCCGGTCTGTGTAACTCAGTGTCCTCAAGTCTCTGACCATGCTCCTCTTCTCCCACAATGCACTTTTCCAGTGAGCTCACCCATTTCCATGGATACAGTGGATACTTACCTGCCATGAACCTTGAGACCGTCTCAATGGCCCAGAGGCTCTCCTGAGCTTCTGACTAGTATTTCCAACAACCTCTTGTCTGTTATAACCTGGATGCTCTATAGACAGCTCTACTCAACTGAGCAACAAGGAACTCTTCTTTTCATTTCCCCTCTAAACCCTCTCTTGGGCCTCTTCCTCTTTCCCTGCTCTGACTCCCATGTCCACTCAGAACCAGGCCCTGAAGAGTCTACCTCCCTGAATCTTTCTCTGCTGAGGCCTCACCTCTACTCACACTGTCACTGTGTAGCTAAATTTGGGTGGCTTTTTCTCTTCAGATCACCATATGCCCTGGCAATATGCCTCTTGAGTTCCAGTGTTCACATCAAATCCAGAGTGACTTTCTGAATTTCTAATCATGCCCCACACCTGTATTGCTGCTTAAATTCTTCATTGATCTTCTCTTATTCTCAGGATAAGGCTGTACCATGGTCTGATCTCTCCCAGCCTGTGTTTTACCACTAATACCTCCAACTTCTCCTTCAATTACACTGAACAAATTCATAGTTCTGAAGGGTTGTTTGCTGTGTCTGTCTTGCCTCTGGACTTTTACACATGCTTTTACCTGTTCTTTCTGTCTATGCAAGTTGACTAATTCACTACTTCTGTCACAAAGCCTTCTATGGGCTCCACGTAACAGAGTTAGATGTTACCTTCTCCTTCTGTCATGCTACCATGGGTTTGCCTGTATTATAACATCCATTATGCTTTAATTGTCCATCCATCCTTAGATTTTAGGAGCCTTCTAGAAAGACACTCTCTCTTACTTGGGACTTTAAATTCTAGAGTCTGGAACAGTCCATGGTGCAAATTAGGAGCTCAATAAAGACTTTTTAAATGAAGGAATGATTCTGTTTTATGTTTCACGTGGATGGTCTATGATGAACACATAAAAACTAGTTAAATGTGAGCTTTAGATGAGGGGAATGTTAGGGAGATAAGAGATGAGTTTAAAGGGGATAAAGAATCAAAGAGTCTTTCCTCCTTCCTCAAAGTGTTGGAGCCAGAAAGCCAGATGTTCCTTTATCCTCATCCTTTATCTCTCTGGCAAGGGGAAAGCATCTGCCACTTAGAGCTAAGTCACTGCTGACCTTTGCGTTGCCATTCCAGAGGTGGT